CGAGGGGAGCGGCGTCCCCAATGATGAAGGGGACGCGTGCGGACGCCGTTGCGGCTTTTTCATCATTGGGGACGCCGCTCCCCTCGCCGCAGGGATGTTAGTGCATGCGGCCCTAAGACGTGAACTGAAGTATGGATTGAGGCAGACGAACGCTTTAAACGCTCATGTTGATTACGTAACTGCTTGCAAGACTGCGTGATGGTCAATAAAGGACGATCTCTATCGGCATCACTGTTCCGTCTTAAAACGAGCCATCGAACGCAATCGTATCAAACGCGGCCGTCTCGAGCTTATCCATCAACATGAAGTCGTGTGTCAATTGCGGAGGCCAGATGGGACTATGACCAACACTTCCACAGAAGCTCAATCACTTGCTAATACCTTTTTCGCTGAACTCTACGCGGCCCGCGGGACCACTCTTCCATTCCACAGCCAACGAACTATTACTCATCCTATCAGCGCCGATGAACTAAGGAAAGCAGCTTCAAAGATTAGAGGAAACACTGCTCCAGGAATTGATGGCATTCGTTCTAAAGCTGCGAAGTATGGTGTAGAAGTTGTTGCACCCCAACTTGCAAATATTATCAATCGAATGTTCGAAGACAGTCACATTCCTACCAACTTCGCCCATGCCTCCTTGATACTGCTTCACAAAAGCGGTGACCGCCATGATATTAACAACTATCGACCGATTTCTCTCTTACCCGCAATCTACAAAGTCTTGACGAGAGCACTGGCCTGTCGAGTCGAAGAAAAAGTGTGCAAATATCTGGCTATTGAGCAAGCTGGGTTTCGACAGCGTTTCTCAACCACTGACCATTTACAAACTATCAATCAACTCATTGAGAAAACGCATGAATACCATCTACCCATCGCATTCCTTTTTCTCGACTTTCAGAAAGCGTTCGATACCGTCAAGTTTGACTCAATCTGGAGAGCTCTTGCCCATTATGGAGTTGATAGCGACACAATAACAATGATACGACTCTTGTATCAAGCAGCTACGGCATCGCTTCAATCTGATGAAACCAATGCTCCATTCAAAATACAGAGAGGAGTTCGCCAAGGGGATGCTCTATCACCGCTTATCTTCATCACGTGCCTTCAATTCGCAATTGATTCTGTCCACTGGGAAGATGGAGATGGCTATGATATCTGTGGAAAACAACTTCACTACCTTGCATTTGCGGATGACGTTGTGCTTATAAGTCGTTACCCAACTCGATTACAGTCAATGGCCGTGAAAATTCTTGAAGCTTGTCAGCAAATTGGGCTTCAAATGAATGAAAGAAAAACAAAATGGATGGGAGAGGACAGAGATCGCATTTGGAGAACTTCAACAATTACACTAAACGGCAACACCATCGAGCGCGTAGACTCGTTTGTCTATCTTGGTCAGCTACTGCAATGCCCGCGCGATCACGACAAAGAAATCTCTAGACGTATTAGGATGGCATGGAATGCTTTTGGCAAGATACGAAGATTTCTCACCAACAGAAACGTAGCTGTTTACCTAAAACGGCACTATTTCAACAAAATCATCCTTCCAACACTTCTGTATGGCTGTGAAACATGGGCAACCACTAGGAAGTCAATGCTGAAACTGCTCCAATGCCAAAGAGCAATGGAAAGGCTGATGCTTGGATTTCGACTGAAGGACTCCAAATCTTCAATTTGGATTCGTTCTATAACGAAGTTGAAGGATGTGGTAGCGACGGCACGGAGAAGGAAGTGGCGGTTCGCTGGGAAAATCTATAGGATACAAGGTGAAGAAAGATGGACAAAAATTCTCATGCGCTGGACACCATCTGTCGGAAGACGCTTTGGTGATGGCAGACCAAGAACTAGATGGGAAGACGACATACGAAAGCACTGTAATGTCTTTGAATCTGCTCGTAAATGGCAAGAACTAGTTATGGATTCTCGTGAATGGAGGCGAACAGAACATGCATATATGGTCACATACTGATTAACGGAAGCCTCAGACAAAATCATCACGGTATTTATCACTAACATGTAGAACTGTTGAGTATGAATAAAAGATAAAGATAAAGAAGCATTACTTGCATTGTCTCCCAACTTGTAAGTAGTTATCTTTCTCTGACCTATAATTTTGATTGAGGTCCATTGGCAGGCATCCTTTGAGATTGACATTCGTTTAAGCAGGTTACCTCAAAAGTAAGTGCAAGAAGGGGGGGGGGGGTCGTACGGATGGGTACCTTTAGGGGAGGGGGTCGTAAATGAGGGTCCCCGATCGCATCAGCGCGCTTGACCCTGTTTCAAGCGTATTATGAAGTTTCTTGGCTCTGAGCCAACCTTAATGACGTTGGTTTATGAATTTATGGGTGCTAGGTGTCAAGACGTTTCTTTACTAGGACGGGCTTGCTATGATTGTGATACTGGCAACCCTACGCGTCGGCGAGTGGGTAGTCGGCGCGAATGCAATATCAGGCTTAATTGTGGCTAAGTACCTCTACATAAATTTCCTATCTTTTTTGAAAACATATTTGTGAAAAAGCATTTCCAAAAAGGAAGACTGCTCCAGGAGCGGTAAACTTCACAAATCACTTAGCATTTTTCGAAATTTGCGAGATTATGAAAAAATTCTTAATTGTCACACTTTCTCTCTAAATCTCCTATTCACAAAGGCTTACTCGCACTACAAAACAAAATCCACTCTATTACCCTCTTTCCAAAAGACTTTTCATCCGGTTTTTTTTAAACAAATTTTATGACAGATCGTTAGGAAATTAGAAGAATACACATCTTTGGAAGTACAAGAACACCCATGACAATGATGTATACTACAAAGTACATAGCTTTTCTCTCAAAATCAATCTGACAGCAGCAACCAGTTGTCGCTAGAGTCCCCCCAGTTAGGATTTCGTCAAACTGTAGATATGAGATTTTACTGTAAAAAGACCCCACCCTTAAAAACCGTGACTAATGAATTCTCTTACGATATTGTATCACAATGTAGCGAGGTCATAGCAAATGTAAGCAACTAATATTTTTTGAGCAGCGGAATTTTCAACGACGAATTGACGCCCAGAAAAAACTACCTTATGATTCCTACAGAAGAAACAACAAAATCAAGCATTTATTCACAACCTATCCTCAAGATGTCCTACGTGCCATCTAAGGACCATCACTTATAAGAACTGCCCCAAACATACAAAAGTCCCTTTCCCTGCCCAATTAAAATAGCGTACGTGCCGCTTACAGACCGATGCCTATTTGAAAGAAAGTGCATGCCCTACGTGCCGCTTAAGCACCATGTTTATGAAAAAGAACTGCCTTACCATTCCTAAGAGAAAACGAAATTTAGCATTTACTCACAGGATATTCTCGAATTGCCCTAGATGTCACTTAGAGGGATTGTCTCGGCAAAATTTCGCTTTCCGGTTTTCACCTCTTCGGAGCCTTCTCGCCATGTTGAAGCTATATCTTGAGTTCAACACTTGAAAATGACAAACATGAGCTTTTTTCGAAGCCCAAATTAGTGTAAAAGTGGGTGGAGTGAAATGGGCGGGGTCCCTTCGGAGCGGGTTTTGGCTTCCCAGAAGCGCTTTTTCGCTCCAGTCTTTACTGATAGATTAGCTGGAGTGTCTACCATCGCAACCTGTAAATGGTACCCAACATTTTGTGGGGAACGTGTCTTCAAGGACGGTCAATTATTAGAACTGCTCCAAAGGTACAAAAACTTGTTTCCCTGTCGAATCGAAATTTCCTACGTGCCACTTACCAGACCAATATCTGTTTGAAAGAAAGGCGTCGCGGAATTCAGTTACACAAACAAAAGCAAGGCTGTTCCCAGATAATTTCCAAAAGTACCAGCGAGACCTAAATACCTCACGCGCTCTCCTGTCTGTGTACAAACGGAAGCAAGATTATCCTCAAATGTTTTTGGAGCATTTACCAAGATTTTTACAAGAACATGCGGGATCTAGACGAATTTACGCTGTAAAGCATTTTGGCTTTATTTTGGAAGCAATCAAAGGAAGTACAATATATTCGACCACTACACCTTAGGAAGCATGATTGAAAAATCAGTCTGTGCAAATAACACACTCGGACGCTGGCGAACCGATGGAAACTCTCAACACTCATGATTGCCTTTCGAAATAGTGACCCTTTTACGAAGATATGCTTTGTAAAGTTATTCGTTATGAAATTTGAGTGCTCCAAAATGCATGCCACTATGCCACTTGGCAGCAATGCAAATAAACGTCAGTACATTTCATCATAATTTTCCGTCTGTTGTCTTATTTGTCATAATCTACGGAATGGGGTAGCGGAGTGATAAAGTTCCCATTATATTAGTGATTCTGAGAAACTCGTGATTACAGTGAATATGAATGCACCTCAAAAACATCACCTGAAGCTTCAGCAGTACAAAAGCGCAAAAGTACCATCAGTTAAGAGGGTGTAAACGCGGCGCGCACACATATTTACCGTTGTAAACTCTGCGCCTCATGCGCTCTGCGACTAATAAAACCATGTTTACGCCCTTAGGTGTTCTTCGTAGTACGGCAGTAGTCTTTGAAGACAGTTCCGGGGTCGGTTTTGAGAGCATCTCAACATTAACAGAATACTAAAGCGGGCTACCTACGCAAGCCAAAGCCCGTATGAACTTGCATGATATCGACTTCAGAGTGAGAAAAGCGCTTCAGAAGTTTGCACATGGCCGCTCTTCAATGTCTCGCTCTTACCGCGAGAACTCGTGCCGGGACAGGGCCGTTACGACGCTTTCATTGACTGCAGCGTGTCCCGCATGCTTTCCTGTTTCGGCAAAATCGAGAGGAGACTATGTAGCTCTAGCGAGTTTCTCGCTTCTGAAGCACAGCCGCGACCGGGCTATAGGTGACATGGGGGCCTGCTTCAATAGTCGTTGGAAATGAGGTGCTTCCAAATTGCCCGAAAGGTGCCTTTAAGTACAAGAAGATGGCTCGGTTGAGAAAGTCCGGTCTCCTTCGCGAGTGCAAACAAGTTAGATTTACCTCTTTTTGCCTTTCCGCCAAAGGTTTTTTCAAAAACGTGGCATCTTTCGCCATGTTTATGTACTTTTCCAAGACGCTTTGGACCTGAAAACGACTTGTTTGAATATGTTAGAAGCAACCAGCACAAACAAGGTTTTCAAGAACTGTGAACATCAGATTGAGATGTAAAAATAGAAAAGCCTTCTTATGGCTTGACTGTCGAATGACTACTATCTATCTGTGTTTTCAGTGAAACTCAGCTCCATTGAAAATTCGCAGGAAACGTCGATTACGTTAGAAGAACCATTTTGAGAGCAAAGAATAGCAGAGGAGATACGCGTCTCCCAAAAACCATAACCACTTTTTATTTCGGAAATAATGGACATCAGCGAAAGACGATGAACGAAAAGTGACGTAAGAAGAAAAAACTCAGTGAGCCTAACAATAGGAAGTGTTGTCATCACTGAATGATCGCAGACAGATAATCACTTGACGCTACTGAGCATTAACACCACTCTAGATTTCGTAAAAGTGTGTCTTATAATGATGTCCTTCACAATCAGTATAATTCGAAAGAGTAGTGACACACAGTTCTTTTGAAATTCCGTCATGAATCACAAACCAGTATCGTAAGGGTAACATTCTGGGAAATCATAGAGTGATCAGTAAACGTAATTTGCGCTATAAAATAGCAGAGTCACGAATGGAAACCAATAGAGAAAAGAATTGAAAGTTGTTAAGAAGACAGGAATAATCGAAAAAGCTACTCTCTGTGAGAGTGAGAATTTATTATATCAATGCGAAGTTGTAAGCGCTTTTTTTCGATTTATTATAATGGACGTTCTTCAATAAATTTCTTTGCAAGAGCTTTTGCGGTCCTTCAAAACCACGTTACGGAGCTGGCTTAGCTCAAATGTGCAGTATAAAATGAATCACCTATCACTCATCATTACTGTAAGATTACGATAGGAAGTTTGAAAAGGGTTTTGAGTTTCAACAGACATTATTTTCACAAGGCAAACCAGGCGACCTAAAAACTTTGCATTAGGCTAATCAGAGTCGCTAATTCCAGATATGAAGTTTGTAACTTATCGTAACGCTATCAATGAATTATGCCAAGACTACCGTAATATCCGACGTCCTTGAAAATGTAATGATGTTTAAAGAACCTTAGAACATTCAAAAAATTAATCAGCAATCCAGCTGCGTAAAAACCTGGTGCACAACTCTTGCGGGGGGGGGGGTCGAAATTTCTTGAAATGGCGCATAGACAATGGCGGTGTATGCTACAACTGCTTGCCATAACGTTGAGCAAACCAGGGAAGGATACTCGGTGACTGAAATGTAACGTAACCAATAAGCATTTAAGTAAGCAACAGCATTTTAAAGCGCTGATTCCAAATCTGCTTTCGGTATCTGCTGTGCGCTCTTCCGAAAGAAGTTATGGACATTTCTTGCCATCAAAATCTTCACTGTTTTGATGACAGGATTCACCAACATCGTTAGAATGTTCACTTGCGCACTACAAAGGAGCGTCCAATCTAATCAAAGCTTTACGAGAAACTGTCTTTGATATCAGGGTCTAAAAAGGCTGAATGCTAATGATTCTGACTACCTAGATCTCGTGAAATTAATGTGAGAAAAAGTTCATAATTTCGTTCGCAGAATCGCATAGCAGATAATGAACATAGATTTAGAATAAGAGTTTCAAGGTGCATCTGCGGTTATACATCTCATGCAAAAGGCCTCATTGCCAAGTATCCTTCCGGAGTAAGTTAAAGCTAGCTTTGCAACCTGATGTTTGAAAAACCGCGAAAGTTCATCATGTTAGAGAGTTGTAAGATGTCAAACGTTCGATATGTTTTCCCTGGTCACCCATAAATGCTTTTTTGTTTCTGCTATGTGTCTGATTTTCAGCAATCGAGTACACCGATTTCTAGGTGCGTTTACCTTGCAGTCTTAAAGTCATTTCCGTACGACCCTTTTGCTTAGAGCGAACAAGTTTCCGAGAATTTATGATCAACTAAGAATTCGACGGTTTATCAGCACCAAATCACCCCTAATTTTTGGAACCGATTGGCTTGCCGAATTTCATTTGAAGTTGGGCTCTCCCAACACTTACGGTCTGGCAGCTATGAAAAGAAGTTTTATGGAGCCAAAAGACTAAGTTTAGTTCCAAAAAGACATTTATAATATTTATGGCTATTTCTCGCTTTTGTAGATTTTGGGAAAAAAAGTTTCACAAACGGAGGGTTCTGCACAGTGAGACGGGGAGCCAAAAAACGGCACTTTCTATCTTTCACATGTATTCCACTGGAGGTTTTACTAACTAATTTTTTGTTTCTAACAAGGGTAAGATGCTCGGAAGAAGTGACGTTATACGAAATTTATATTGTCTTATAGAACACTAGTTGGCAAACCCGGCTCCACCCGGCCCTGTATATAACATATTTGTAATCAGCATCCTTGATTACCCCCCTGTGCCAACTCCCAGCCCCGTAGCTCAAATTTTGCAAAAAATCGATACAATCGATATCAATCGGTACAAAAAGTGGCCTATGACACTCTTCCTGCCCCGAAGTGTATGTGTGCCAAGTTTGGTCCGGATCGGTTCAGAAATAAAAATTTCTATTCCGCACATACGTACAGACATACAGACATTCAGCTTTATATATAAGATGAAACAATAATTTCAAATCAGCTTTCTTTATCTGCAAAGCGCTTCTGGAAGGGGAGCTCTGGAGATTTTTTGATTCAATTCAATGATTTGGCTAAGGTAAAAGCAGGTGTTGAGGTCTTTTCGGCGTTGATAAGAATAGTGACTGACATAAGTTGGTTATATTGAAGGCATTCATTACATAAAACGCCCTGGTAGCAATCATGGCCCCATTTGAGCCCACAAATTAAGGTTCTAAATGATTTTATTATAACGTCGCTTTCAAATTTTTGCATCAAAATATTCCCATAACTCCACTCCCAGAACCGCTTTGCAGATACCGAGAGCAGTTTTGAATTCGGCGTTCCATGCTCTATAAGATAGTACACATTTTATATGAAAACGCCACTTCGGTCAAGTATCCTTCCTTAATTTTGTCACATCCTAAGCTTTTTAGGTCGCCCTGTTCTTATTACATTCCGTTACAACTTCGAGAGCTAATCAATTATAACACCAGTCATGATCCACGAATATGATGGCTGCAAAATTAGGAATCAATTCTAAATTTTGCACTGTGAAGTCACTAATAATACACAGTAAACAGATATCCAAGCCCGAACATTTCAATCGATTAGAGATGGAACGTGCTTACTTGTTTTCTCATTTTTCATTTTTTCTCAATTCAGAACTTGGCATAAACAAAGAGAAAGGGATTGAAGTGGCAACGGGCTAAACACGTAGGCGGAGAATTTTCTTCACTTATGCTTAACGGGTAATGTGCGCGGCTGACCTTTTCTTATTCTTTCTCTAACGATAAGATTTTGAAAGAAGAATAATTAGTCTATTGGTTTACCAGTGCGTCACCTCTGCTTCGCAGAGGCTCGCACTGGCCCTACTATCTATGTGCCTTACTCATTCTCGTAGAATTGTGGCACTGGAACTCACCGCGCTATGCCGACTACCACGAATAAAATGTAAACAACTACTCATTTAGAAAGCTTTTTCACGTAAGATCGGTGATTTCGCGTGGATGAAACTTTTCACAGGAAGAAAAACGCAAATTTGAGTAGATCTTTGAATTTGTCATGGCTTGATAGTTGCCATAAAGGCAATAGTAATTGTGAGCTACATCTCTGTGCGAAAATCTTCTGAAATGCTTGGCTAGAACCTTGGCAAATTGACCATTTACGCAACCGATTCTTTTTGGCGCCGTTTTCGTCATGTAGTAAACTTTTGACCACTTTTTGGGCTAAAGTCCATTGTTTGCACATTTGCTAACCAAATACACCCACGACTTTGCAAAAAGTGGTGATACGGACCCAATTTTGAGGGACAGAAGCCAGGTGGATCCGTTTGGCGCGCAATTTCTGAGGGATACACTCAACGAATCTACTCGTGTTTTTGCATGTTAGACTTTCATGAAGGGAGCATGCGCTGTGCAAAATTTGGGCTCAGAACACTGGCTGGAACACGCTCTACGGATTTCGTAACAGACGGACAAACACACACACACACACACACACACAAAAACACGTAAACAACCCTTAGCCCGTTATTATAAGGTGGTTTATAAGCTCTCTTAAATTGCTCTGGGTACCTGCTTTCCCGCTAAATTTACGATAGCGAGAAGGGTTTCTTCAAATTAGTGTATGCGTTTTTGGCTCAATAATCTCGTCCATAAAAAAGATACAACTTGAAGTATTTTTCTGTTGTTCCATTTTTTTCAGTAATTTTGAAACTAACCTTGGGAGTAGCGCTTTTTACTTGTTCCTTAATCCACTTGTAAAGCTCGACGCTTTCCTTGCAGTATTCAAGAAGTTCTTCCTAAACTAGTTGACACTCACATACGTGCATTTATTATCACTTCCTTACCGTCGCTCCAGGGTTCTCCGTGACGTTCACTTCTTTACTCAATTCTTTACACTTCTCCAGTTTTTGTTCATCTGTCAACGATTTATCCGATAAAAACTGCACATTCTATAAAAGATATGATTTTGTAAACGCGGTATCTTCTCAAACTGTTCGAAGGGGCCAGAAGTATGTAAACCTACAGTTACAATCTCGTCAATATCATCGTCGGTCAGATCCGGTGCCACGAGCACATCCACTGTGGTATCAGCAACTTCGATTAGTACCACTAGAGCAGCCAAAAATCTGAAAAAAAAAACTTGCAAGCCACATTCACGCAAAATCGCATGGACACGTACTTGTAATACATTCCAAAAAGTTTGTTGTAGATCCTAGGAGAGTTCTGCTCGGTGTTCCTTTATATGAGCGGCAGTAGAGTCATCGTTCTGACTACGTAAACGTTGGTGAATGTGACATTCCGGTTTGGAGGTAATCACCTGGCCGAGAGACGTCAACGACTTTATTATATTTGATTCATACAGTGGTGCATGCCAATGGCAACACATCTTGCGCATTTTGATGAACCAATGCAGGACCAGTATGAAAACTGCATACCTTTCAACCACTTCTCAGGGATTCGCGCCGTGCGGGCGGTTCTCATTAAAGCTCCTCCGCCCGAGCGCACTGCATAGTTTTTGATGTACCGTGCGTGCGGTCAACAATAAAAATGCCGTGCAAGCGGCAGGCAATGCGTCCGCACGATCGGCCAGCAATCACTTGATCGTACAAGCGGCAGGCAATCTCGCCGCGCAATCGGTACGCAATAAAACCGACCGTGCAAGCGGCAGGCAATGTGTCCGTTCGATCGGGCGGCAAATATTTGCCTGTGCAAGCGGCCAACAGTGACCTCTACCTTCGGCTCATTGTTTTCACACACTGTGAGCGTAAATGGTACCTGCATGAGATACGACGCAGCGTTTAGGCTGGCTAAGCGTCGACTGTCGTGTTATCAACATTTCCCTTCACCGCAAAGCTGGAATGAACCTGCGTGAGGCTACAGTTATCAAGAGTGATGGTGTGGGCTCCTCATGGAAAGTTTGGGTAGTGCGGCAGGCATTAGTCCGTGTTCGCAGGATGTGAAAATGCTTAACATACCTAAGAAAAATGGTTAAAATACCCCATATAAACGTACTCCGGCAGCAAGCGAGCGGCCGACCTTCCCCGCGCAAGCGGCGAGCATTAGAAACCGTGAGGGCGCCCCACGTTAACCGTGCTAACGGCCCTTGACGACCGTACAATCGCACACACCAACGAGCGATTGTAAGTTCGTCGCTGGCCGCCCGCACGGTGCGAGTCCCTGAGTTAGTACGTTTATTTGTTTGTTTGTTTTTTGCACAACTCAGTGAGAACCACAATTGTTTTGAATTGTGACTGCGGGACAAAAAATGATTTTAGTGCATCGATTCTTTCGTGCAGGTCACAAAATCTGAAAGTTTAAGACTAGTAAATGTTTCGATAAAATAGCCAGCTGAATACGAACTTCTTTAATGAAATTGGGTGACAGATATCTGCTACAAGGCAACATTTCTGTGTTTTCTGTATTTTTTTTGTTTCCCCAATTCTATATGTCAGTAGCCTGCCTCCACTATATTTTCGTAATCAGCTTACTTACCTTCCTGCCACACCTCCTAGCCCTGTAGCTCAAACTTTCAAAAATCGATAAAATTGATAAAATGTTCCATAGTTGAAATAAACATTGTATGCGTGAATAGCATGCTCGTTTACTCCCCCCCCCCCTGCGAATTTCTGGCCTTCTGGCCCAAACTTTCCGAAAAATCAAAATCGACAAAGGTTATCGATGATTCTAAAAGTAATTTTGTATTCGTAATCAGTATGCTTACTTAACCCGCTGTATGGACAACCTGCCTCAGAGCTCAAGCTTTGCCAAAAAAATCGGTACCGATCGATAACGAAAGTAGCATACGACACCCACTCAGGTCCTAAGCGTATTGTTTTTTGGTTCGGATTGGTTCAGAAGTAGAATTTTATTCTAAACATGCATACATACAGACATTCTGCTTTACAATAGGTTGTTTCAATAATAATATCGCTTTCAAATGAGCATAGCATCCTGCAGCACAAAAGTCCTTAAAGGCATTGTCCAGGTCAATTAGGGGGTGGTGGAATTTTTTTTTTTTTGACGCAGTGCGGGAGCACGGCTCCTGACTAATGCAACAGTTCAAGTCCGATTAAAAAAGGTGGATTCTGAAGCGAGAAAATCGCTCCGGAAAAAAGGGGCGGTCCGCTAATCCCACAATCTCGATTGACGCAGTTAATACATTAGATCTACGGCAATTGCCACGGCAAAACTTGTCGAGGAGGCGGGATTGGCGAACCGCCCCTTTTTTCTGGAGCGATTTTCTCGCTTCAGAATCCACCTTTTTTGATTGGACTTGAACGTTGCATTAGTCAGGAGCCGTTCTTCCTAACTGCGTCAAAATCCCACCACCTCTTAGTTGACTTGGACAATGCCTTTATAAACTTTTAGGCGCGATGCAGCTTTTCATCCTCCTTTGAACAGTTGTTTCCCACTTCTAAGCAACAAGCTTTCAGAATACGACCAAAAACTACGACTGTTTTTGTCATGTCTAAGTTTCGCTAGTTTTACTAATTTTATAAATTTTCAAATCGATTCTCTCAGACAGCCCAAGTAACAAATGGATAGGACAAACCCCACAAGATAGCAAACAATTTTTTGCTCTTTTCCATAACTTGTCATGATTTCTCGATAAGATTTTAAGGACACCACCGAGTTTTTGCAGGCCTGTCTCAAACAGAAATGCACAGACGCCAAGAAATCTTCGAAATTTTGAACTTCCAAAAGTGATTCTGGTTCGATACAAGCTTTGCAAAACAAATAAGCATTTGCCTTTTCAAAATAGCAACTTTTGAAAACCCCGGGTACAGCGTGGAGCGCTCTCGAAAACAAATTTATGATCATCTCAAACAACTGGTAGAAAGAGGAGAAAACGCTGCATTGAATGACACCGAAACTGTTTGCTTGATGTTATCTAAGGTCTGACACGACCGAGTATGGAATTTGATGGTCTCAGAAAATGATTTTAAAAATTCTAAGGCTTTGGCCATACTTTACCCGTGTTACCCGTGTTACCGGTGTTACTAGTGTTACTAGTGTTACCTGTGTTACTCGTATTACTCGTGTTACCCGTGTTACCATGTTAATCGTGTTACTCGTGTTACTCACCAGTCAGTGATATTGCGTTCTAAAATATGACTGTATTGTGAACATTTCACTATTCAACAGCAATAATCGGGTAACACTAGTAATACCATTAATACGAGTAACACGGGTAACACCAGCAACACGAGTAACACTGTTAACACGGGCAAAGTATGGCCAAAGCCTAAAAAACGAGTGTGCATAAGAGAAAAATTGCTACGCATCCTGTAGCGTTGACTCGATTCACTAACTTGAACTTTTTAGAAGGATCGATGTAAGATTTTAAAAAATTAGCGAAACGTGACCATAGCGAAAATCATATGTGGTAGCTTTTGTTCATTTTCTGCGCTAGTTAGTTAAGGTGAAGAGAGAAAACAAATTTTGAAAGAGGATGAAGAGCTACATCGGATGCACCTAAAACCTTTTAATAATCCTCGTTTTGCGGGATGTTACGCTTGTTTGAAATATAATAAAACGGAATTACCCTAATTTCAAGCGCATAAGGCGCGCGGATTTTTTATTAAAAAACCAGCCCAGACACGCCAAGGGACTTTACAATCAAGAGACCCTATAACGTGCTGTATATTGCTCGAAAGAATTGTGCGGTATAAAGATCTCTTTCCGGAATACAATGAAGAGGCTGAGCGGCTTGCTTGAAAAATCAAAAAAGTGCGCCTTATACGCGTGAAATTAGGGGTACTTTGGGAACGACTCAATATATAAAACTTTGTAAAAAAACTGAATATTTGTTATCGAGCTCTTGTGAAACAACGGGATCGCAGAGCATATTGTAAAATGAGCCGGCCCTACACAGAGGCTAAAATCTCTGTTTTTCGAAGATATGGTTTTTTTGCGAAGGGAGAAGGAAGAGAGCTAGAATCGATAGTCGACGAATGTTCTGCTGGTGCCACTGCACTTTTCCACTATTACAATGCCTTTTTCCTATCATTGTTCCCGCCGAAGTGGCACCTTTTATTCACTAAATCATTGTTGTTTTCTGCAGTTATTTATGTGTCACTTATCAATCAATTCTAAAGACAGATGGCGATAATAAAAAAGGGGAGCAATAGTTTCAAGTAGTTTCCACGTTCTATGAGATTTTTGATCGAGGAGAAAAGTTTGAAAAACTCTTAGACTTTCGGCTTTATCATGTATTCTCTGGAATATACTTGCATGGCATGCAAATGCAGAGTTACCAAGAGAGCAAAATTTTGAACTTATGCATCCACATCGCTTAGAAAGGTGGTTGATTAATGAAAAAGACATGAACAATTTTTTGTAGATTATTACACAGATTGTGATGTGCAAATTAGGTTGGTTGATAATTAATGCACGTTTTTCCTACCTCTTTTTCAAACGCTAGTTTTCAATCAAAAATCGTTTCTCTCTAAAACCATCTATACTATCGGAAAGCTCGTTTCTTCTACTTCCAAACATACACTTTGGTTTTCGGTGATCCTTGTTCAGACCAAAGTTCCGTGCCTTTAAACTGAGGAACTCACTTGAAAATTTTTCCTGTCATTCGACTTGCCCTAATTCCATGAAAAATGCTCAAATTTGTTTCAAAAAATATGTGTTATAATCGCGAAGATTTGTGCTACAAAATGCCCAAGGCTAGATTTTTTAGAAATCCTGAGCCGAGAAGCTTTGACTCAAACTTAGCTGAATGCTGGGATCACTCGGAGCTTTATAAAATGCTTACATGAGAAGCAATTACAGAACTCTCACTTGGTTTTGGTAGAGTAGACCAAGGACTACTAGTAATAGGAAAACGACAAAATCTTCTCGTTTTTGAAATGAGAAAAAATTAAAGGAATCTAAAAATTACAGATTTTTGCCTTCTCCGAAATGCATGAGAAAATGGTACTTTTGCTTCCTTGGCAATATTTTTTCCGCAGAAAATTTTTGCTAAAAGCCAAGTTCCACGCTACTACTGAATCGACCATTGGCTACACAATGAGCAAAGTCTTCTCCAATTTAGTTCTTTTAAGAGTAAGTTATGCTCCTTTAAGCTAAAGCTTTCCAGAATAAATTCTCGGTAAATTTTGAGCCGTAAAATCTTTCCCGTGATGAGTGCAATCACACAGAAGTATACGTTGTATAGCTAAAAGTTTGCGGTCTGCAATAGT